AAGATTCCTCATAGTTACACCACGTTATGTATTGTGTACTCAGGCGAACACGATACAATTCAGTAAAGCAACATCTAATTTCATTGAACTATGTCGTTTCCTCAGACCAATAAAAACACTTTCATAACTAACTTAAATTGACCTTAATGAGAGTAAATTAGTCGTATTTCTTTTAAATGTATTACTCATATATCAGAGATACACATACGGAATGTCATCACAACTAATCATTCCCTGGGTGTCGTGGTCGATGCGACCGCGGTGAAACATCTGTCATTACCGGCTGTTGAGCGTATGACGGCCGGTAGCGAGTGGTCAGTTCGGTCCTCGTACCGATTCATCCGTCCTGATTTTTGACGGGAGATGGCTATTTAAACAGCATTTCCGATAGCTTACTCCAAAGCTGATAGGCGCTGCTCCTGCCCTAGAGAGATTTTTGCCCATATTTGGGTGGAGCCAGCGTCGCGACAAGACGGCTGTACACGGGGGTTGTCCAGTCAATGGCACTGTACGGTGCACCGGTGTGGGCGGCGGCTCTGTCCGCTCAGAATAGGGCATGCTTCTGGCGCCCTCAGAGGATATTGGCGGTTAGAGCCTTACGCGGTTACCGCCCCGTGTCAACGGAGGCGAAGTATATCGGGCTGAGTTCCGGGCGGGTAGCGGCATTTGGCCGCCGCCGGAAGAGGTACGTGAGTGGCGTGAGGCCGCTCGCCGAGCCACGATGGCTCGTTTATCGTCCCGGCTGGAGCGCCTCCACGGCGGGTAAGCCAGCTCGTGGAGCCTTGTCATCGTTGAGTGTTTCCTTCCGGCTGACACAGGGCCTTTCCGGGCACGGCTGCTTCGGAAAATACCTGCACTCAATCGCTAGGAGAGAATTGAGTCCCGCCTGTCACCACTGCAATTGAAGTGAGGACTTGGCTTAGCACACGCTGTCAATTTGCTCGGGCGGCGGAGGCGCGCTTATCACCGCCTTATGCCGCCCTGAGTGCGGCCGCGGGTGGACGGGACGGGTTTTCCCCTCCAACCGCTATAACGACCAGCAGCGAGGAGGCAATGTACGAGTGTGCCGGACGTCGCCCAAATAGAGAATGAACCGCGCCGTTGCGGCAGGCGGTAGGAGGGGTCTGGATGTCTTAATAACAGCAGTTCCCGGATCCCTCCTATTACAAGCGCAGAGTAGTGTAGTAGAGTACCGTGTGGTTTTAGTCGGTTCGATTCTGACACACCACCCCGTCGCAAACCCTACTGGCTTGACTACTTTGGCAACTGATGCTCATTTTATTGTAATCACACACTAAAATAGGATTTTTGAAAATTTCACCCATAGTGGTAAAATAAGGGATGAAAGTTCGTCATTTTCAATGTTGGAAACACGAAGTAAGCAATAATCACGTGAGCGACACATGATAGAACGAATATGATGATGATAGATAGACGAAACATGATAGTTTAAAAATAAGTATAGGCGATATATTCCTTAATATGTATATTATTCGTATATACCAAACTACAAATTGAAGTATTAAAAGTCATGCTGACAAAAAATATTATTCCAACAAAGAAAGATAACATAATCGCTTAAAATTCAGAATTATCTGTTACAAGCACAAACATAATAATATTTCGTATGAAAATAGACTGTTACTTGAGTAGTAGGTAATATCACAAAGAAAAATACAATTATTGCATATCAGTTTCTATCTCTACAATATCAACTTGGCAACTTGATTTCTATTCTAGAATTTTCTAGATCCCAATTTAATATTATAACAGTGACAGTGATTAACAAGAACAGTGGCCGGCAAGAAATTTTGCAATCTCTTTTACTAGGGAAAAAAAGAAACCTATAGGATTTTTGTAGAAAAGAGATATTATTCCCGAGGGAAAGAATAATACCTATTCCTCTATTTCCCCCTTGAAAAAATCGACAAGACAAGACAAGTCGACAAAACGAATCACCTGATGGTAAGTTTTGTAGAGAACCTGAGACTTTCGTTGCCGTCTCTTAAGTTCCTCCTTCCAGAACTATGATTTGGATTCCGGTAACCTCACTCAGCAACAAAAGAAACAAAAGAATGGCTTGGCACCCGTTTTCTGTGATAGCATGGTACTACTCCAATCGAGCCGGCCCATACGTGCTGAAACAGAACTCCCTCACGGCAAGTAATATTGTATTGTATAAGAGTGATAGTAATTTGTAGTAATTGACTTTGATTTCACAGATGGCGTAGTGGTTTAAGCGGTCGCCACGCCGCTTACTACTACGCCGATTGTTGAATGTCCGATCCCCACATAGGACGACACTTTGTGTGATCCACAAATTGTTGTTCTTTATCTGGGTGTTCTTTGTGTCCATTTCATGTATGTTTGAAATCCTAATGCGGGAGTTGACTTTTAAAAGTTGTCTTTGAATGAAAATTTAACATCCCGCGTTTGGTGCTGTGTGGCGACTTCCACATATGATGAAACAAAGAAACATACTACAGCGCTAATTAATATTATTTAACGGGAATTAACACGATCTCTTATTTAGGGTATTACATACCTCTGGTTTGCCTCAGTCAGGTCAGTCAGCCTGTGACCACGGCCGGTGCAACCTGGTCGAAACGTCAGGCAAACCAGAGGTATGTAATACCCTAAATAAGAGATCGCGTTAATTCCCGTTAAATAATATTAATTATCATGGAACGCGAAAGTTTAAAAGTTAGTATACTACAGCGCTATCTAACGAAGACACACTGAACTACGGAGTAACTGCCAATCCTGTATCGCGATATTAACATTAGTATACATACAACTTCTCAACATCAACCGTTGGGCCACGGTCTGCCAGGCATGATCACCTCGCCGGGTCCGAGGATCCTCTTTTTGTGTTGGAGTGAGACCAGTGATCCTTCACAGCTGTAATTGGAGTAATAATAATTGGAATGCAGATTAAAAAATGTTATTAATATTTATAAGTAAGTTTAAGCACTACCTGGTCTGTATTCTGTAACTGTACCTTTTGTAAATAAATAAATAAATAAATAAACTGTAATAAGACTTTATTTCACATTCATTTTCTTAATAGTTTTAAAAGGTAAAAAGCTTGACGTTTAATAATTCCCTTGAAATTATATGACAGTCGTAGTCAAAGACGTGTCCTCGCAAATATTACATCATGGTAGGTAATCATTTAACCAACAAACACCTTATAGGTACTAAATCGATAACTAATCAAACAAACATGCAAATCGCACAATTTAATAAAAACTCTTGATGAATATTAATAAATAACATTTTCAAATGAAAGGACAATGAATGTGTGTTTTTAATATACTCATATAACCCTAATTCAATTCAAGCCCTATCTATTTATTAGTAAATGTCCTATGGCTCAAATACAAAGTGATGACGAACCGTGTAAATGATGTTTTGTTTGTTATATTATCTGCTATTCTCGTCTATTTACCGACAAAAGTCCACAGTACAGGTTTTACACGTTTTAAAATAGAGCGTAATATGATAATTTGCAAACTGGTTTTTATTCAACTAAGTGGATTCTTTTTTTGTTATACCATTCATAAATGAGCCGAGTATATCGCTTCTCAGCTGATAAAGCCTGTTAAAAAACACAAACTTAAAGGATTTAGGGAGAAAACAGGTGTTGTGTGTATATTATACAACCGAGTACCTATAGTTTGTTACGCATAATGATTACTTAATAGGTCACAGTCAGGTTCATTAAAGGGCTTGTTGGTGATCATAACTTCTAAACCAGAGGTCTGTGTTGGAATCTTTTAATATAGGTCAAATAATAATAATAATATGTTTCTTACATTCAACTATTTCAGGTGTACAAATATTTTCATTTAGGTGCTATAATGATTCTAATTAAAATACGGAAAGAAATCAGTTAGATGAAATCAAATACAATACATCAATTATAAGTGTGTTGAGTTGAGTACCCCGCCTCCACAGGATTAGGGGCAAGAGAAAACTGAAACGACAGACTTGCTTGTAATCTGTAGTTTTATGCCGAAGCAGGGCTCTACAATAGTTGACGGGTAACTGCGGGTGATTCAAGACCGTAGTCTTAACTAAAGTGTTGTAACTTTAGTGTTGCCCATTATTTTTATTACTTTTTACAAAACGCAACACTTTTAAAGAGTTCATCTAGTTTCGTCTTTATCGATTTTTATAGTAAAGTCGCCATTAACGCATTGATACCCATGGTAAGGTATAAATGCATTAGAATCTTAATGCGCATAGATTTCAGTATTTGTTTTATATAGGAACGTACTTATTGAAATGATATGCGAATATATAAAGTTACAATATACAGTTTTTTATTGATGGAGCTAATACCAATATCATTATTTACCAGTCAATGTTAAGTAGATGTGAAAATATAATAAGAAGTAGGTCTGTGCACCTGTAGATAGCGATATTTTATATCTTTTAGAAGATAATAAATATTTATCAGTACAAAGGTGTCTATATTATCTATTGTCTCTTTCAATCTTTTGGATATGTGTCAAAAGAGGATTAGAAAAATATTGATGTCAAATCTTATGATGTTATTTTTCTTAATTTAAAATTAAAATTTTAGAGACTTAAAAACTAACTGATTTTGTAAATACATAGAACTTTACAATTACGAAACTTTTGTTCTATATAAAAATAATTGATTGAACCAAATAGTTTCAAAAGTACTTTTTATAAAGTTTATCAAAAAAGTAACTAGGTAGGTACCTAGTAACCTAGGTACCTAATACCTATAATGCTGACCATTCCGCAATCAATCACAATTGAAATAAACAAAGATTGTCATATCGCTTCGGTCTTACATTACTAAAATCAGTAAATATCCCGTCATGTTTTAAAACAACATTCGGCCGGCGTACGCGTTGACCTTACAACACAACTTGATAACGTAACGCCACTATACTCCACAATTCCACATCAGTGTTGTAATAGCAGCCGACGCTACCACACGTATCGAAGCATAAATAAAAAAAATGTCTGAGTCAGAAGCAAGTTCTCCAACGATATGGGAAGAGCTCATGAGCCCGCTCAACCTTGTGTTAATAGCAATTATCGTGTATCTCGTGTATAAAATTATAAAATCGAACTTTGAATCTGATGTGACCGTGGCCCCATCCCCGCCAAGACTGCCGAAACTGAGGAAGGACATGACAGTAGCCGAAATAAAGAATTATGACGGAACGCAACCAGACGGAAGAGTTTTGTTGGCTGTTAATGGAATCATTTTTGATGTTACCCCTGGCAAGAGATTCTATGGACCCGGTAAGTGTTTCTTTTTAGTGATGTTTATTGTATACCGGTTTTATTGCAATTGTAATAAAGCACTTAGTCCCACTAGTAACATCGTGTTCGTTATAATACCTTTTGTTTTAATTGCCTATTACTGCAATTACAATGCGAGCGGTATTTAAATCGCTATATGTAAATATGTGGATACAGTTTTTTATTTTTCCTGTTTACTCTATTATTATCTATCTATTTATTTTAATACTTGAGGTCTTTTGCCCATCTAGAACTTACGCACATCGTGACTAAAAAATAAAACCTGTTATTATTTGTATAAGATTTATTATATATTTACGGTATTATAATAATGATCATAACTCTCTTTGATGAACTTATCTGTCACTATTCATCAATAGACATTTTTTCTCTAACGCAGTCCTTGTCTAACACTATGCGTTTATGAGTGCGAGAATGAGATAGACAACATAAACATTCCAACCTAACAACAGCGTGTTAGTTTTTATCTAATTTTGGCTTGTCATCGTACCTACCACGTTAACGGTAAATAAGTACTGTTTTCTAATGCTAATAAGATGTACCTACCTATTCAATTTTTTACTGTTCTCATATTTCACAGAATAAACAATCAATTATAAAGTGAAATCAGTTGTTGAATTTCTAATTCAGTTTATTTTTTGTGTTTTGTATAATTTTTTACCTACCTTAAGATCTATAATCGATGTTTTTATTCACTTTGATACCGTACTTCTTTTTCTTAAAACGACTTTTTTATCTTTTATATTTTTCAAGATATTTTATCTATTTACCAGCAAACGATGGTTTTAGAAATGACAGTTATGCTTGAAGCCGTAGCCTATACCTATTTACTTTTTTCTGTTAAAAATATATAATTTTAAGTGTATATGTTTTGTTAAGTATATATTTAGATGAATTATATTTAACACTTAAATTTAACAGGACAGACGAGACTCATAAATAAAGTGAATCCAAGATGTGATTAAGTAGGTACCTACCTAATGAATGACAATAATCTAATTAATAAACTTAATGACATGACAATGACTTAATCACATATTTTATAAATAAATGTACATATGCTTACATATAGACATTTAATATAAATTATTACATTAAGTTTTAATTATTTATAAAACGGAATAGGTTGAAATTAGTGTTGTTAAATCGTGACTCATCACTTTAGTTTTCAGATAAGAACTCTAGAAAATTTAAATGAATAATCATTTACAATAGAAATGAATTATAAATATTATAATTCAAAAATGTACACATGAGATTAAATTGTAAATTATGATTAGCATCTAAGGATTACAAAGTTTTATTTTAAGTGAGTAAAAGTTCGATAAAATGAGTATAAATGGTTAAATTACAAACTAGTGCACATGGATGTAATTAAACATCGTATTTTGTATATTTATAGTTAAATTTCATCAGTCAATTTAATCGTGCGAAACTGACAAGTAAAGTGTAAATACTTAGAATTTTGTTCCATTTCAAGTTGCAACACACTATTGCGGTCTTTTAACTTGTAGTATTTATCACACCCTGGTTTTCTTATAACGTCTTCAGCAATTAAGTTTAAAAAATGTAAGTCTCAGCTAGTGTAATATATACTTATTTATTTTATGTGAACATACATACAGCAAATTATGCTTACAGTCACCTATGCCCTCAACAACAAAAAATACAGATTGAAAGCGCTGCTACTCAATATGCAACGCCAAGAAATATGTGCCGTGAATTGTTTCTGTTAAGGTTCGTTTTTCAACACTTACAGTAAGATAATTATTCGCGAAGTCCCTGATTTTATAAGTATATCGTCGCATTCAAGTGATTCGACCTCTTTAAATTGTCGTTTCTGTTTTTTAGTAATTTAAAACTTTACGCGGGTCTTTTGAATTTAAACTTAAAGAAGAAAGAGAAATTGGAATAACGTACTAACAAAAAATTATACTCTTAATTATTTCACAGTCTTTTGTTTGAAGCGTTTAGATAGAATATATTTAAATAAATATATTTATTGTGGTAGTTTAAAAATAGATAATAAAAAGCATTAAAACCTATTACGGTCTGTGCGCACTGTTAGCATAGTGCTGTTCCTGTCAACTCGCTCAACCGGCAACCTGCATATACATATTACGAGGTCTATGTTTTGTGTTCATTCACCTTGCTTAACTTTTTGTAAAATAAAAATAAACATTATTATATCTAAAAGGCTACTCCTAAACTTAGCGTGACTTCAGATGTTATAAATCTACTGAAGCAGTAATCACAGACATTATTATTTCCTTATTTACAGTCCGATGCGCAATCCAACTTTATTATGCGCAATATAATATCTTATACTACTATACATTTAGGAAGTATAGCGCTTAAATTTTGATGTTGTACATGCTTTTATGCATTTTGCACAAAATAACATTTAATTTTAGTTTTAAAAAGGCTTGCAGCTACGAGTACATGCTACAGTGATCACATCACACTACTCTGTATAAGTTTAAAGTTAAAGTTAATGTAATGTGTAATTAATTAAATACGCCATTAACACAATAAGACTATATAAAACTACAGGGGTTCAGTATATAATTTGTTCTACAACGATACAAAATACTTAATGTTAATTCATGTTACACTAGACAATTTAGTCAAGACTGCAGAGACAGCTTAGTGGTTTAAGCAATCACCTCGCTACTTCTCACCGCCCCGCAAGTGTTGTGGGTGCGATCCCCACATGGAACAACACTTTTAATATCCAGAAATTGTTATCCTGTGTGTGTGTTATTGTATCCACGTTTTGTCCGTTTTATGAATGATAATAAAGTCCCCTGCGACTGGGTGTGAACCTAGTGCGAGAGTTGTCTTTATTCAAAAAACAAAAAATAAAACAAAATATTCTTAACCCTCAAATCGACCACTAGTTTAGTATTTCTACAACAAAAGAATATTTTAAGAATAAACATGATCCCATAAGTAAAGAAAGATGTAAATCCGTAATTAATAGTTGACTTGGTGTGGTAGGAAGCAATATTTTAGCCACGCTTGAAAGATACAGGACATTGGAACCAATTTATAAAACCTAAATGCTTCGTATTCTGCTGTTTGAGCGATAAAAAGTGTGCAATTATTTAAATGAATGTGTAGTACGGTGAATAAAACCCTTTTAATGGACTTTGTCTACATGACGCGCAAAAACGTTTTTGTTGAAGAATGTATTTAAAACAATCCCACACTGAAATATATTTAATACTACCCGTTATACGGTTAGAGTTTTATTTTTTTGATTCCGTTTGCGTTTAAATAACATATTTACATTAATTAAAATAACAAAAAGACTAGTTGATCTAGATTTTTAGCTTTTCGAATGAGTTTCTCCACTGAATCCATTTTTTCCTTTGACTCAAATTATTTTTACTTTCTATAGAATAAGAATTGTTTCTCAAATTCATGAAACACAATATAACTCTGTTAAAATACAAAAACACCGCATAAGTAGTTAATTTATGTAAATTAGCACATTTACTTAGCTTCTATACTAAATGTACTAAGCTTATTTTGGGTTTTATTTTTGTGTAAGAAAATGGCCATCATATTCCTTATCTAATTCGAATTTTACGACCTTGAAAAGCAACAAAAAATATTCAGTATGCTATCCTTCAGACACATCCTTGACGTGTACCTATCTCTAAGTGGATGAACTCGAATACATGTATTCTATATTTAAGTTATACATACATGTACTAACTTAAATAGAGAAGTGATGGCTTTTAGCGATAAGGCCACCCATTAGTAATACATATCTGTCGGTAATATCTATCTAACATATTGTAATTGATGTACAATAAAGAATATTCTTTTCTACATGCGCTGATAAGATAAATTAAACTTGTTATATACTTTATTTTAATTTATTTTAAATACTCTCATTAAAAGCTCGTATGTTATAATAAAGAAGTTGTTTATTACTCAATCACGCGAAAACGTCTGAATGGTTCTTTGGCACAGTGATAGATCATAATCTGACATAGCACACAAGCGGCTTTCTGCATAGGAAAAATAAATTCACAAAAATTGCATTAATGTGGCCAAAGCCATGAGTAAAAGATTATATTTATATTAATAAAACCTAATTCTACAATCAAGAAATGTTATCTGTATATCAGTGAGCGAGGAATTCGGAGAATTTAGGATAGTTCTGATAATCGAAATCGGTAATTGGCCTATGGTTTGGGATATCAGAAATGTAGTAATAGACATTCAAAACGCAGATCGGATTGTGTAGGGAAGTTTGTTAGTTAAACATACTGTGGTAAGTCAAAACAAAGTTTCAATGGCGAGGGAACATTTTAAGGAGAATATATGTTATGTTGTCTGCGAAATATTTTTTGCATAAAACAGTAAGATAAAGCAAGTTATGTTGTTACGCAGTATAAATTGTTTAAAAAAACACTAACAAGCCCGAAATGCAGTACAAAAACAGAAAATCAGAAAATAAATTAACTTGCAACTAATTGTCCTTTTTCGTAAGGTATGCACCCAAAAATAGATTATATATTTTGTGTGATGTAATGATTAGTTTGAATGATGACCCTTATGTGGGGAACATGGTTTGTAAAGTCCTCCGCCACACAGGATAAGAATTATACTATATATATAAAAATATTTAGGCACCTCCGAGTTACACATATATTTTTTTAATAAAATGCTATTATATCTGTCAAACGTGCTAGGACATGGCTCAAAGCCCACTAATTGGTGATCAAAATAGACTACTTGGTCATTATAATCTCGAAAACTTGTAACAACTTAACCCGTGAATTGAGAAGTTATAATGTTATACAAGAGTGGGTATTCCCTCGAACTGTAAGTTAAATCTGTTTACAATGTTGTTTACTACAAGTTCAAAGTATATTATACCTAGTCCTGTCTAATAACATTGTGTGTGTTAAAAACTTTGTAAAACTGCAACTTATAAAAATGAGATGGTGGCGGCTTAAGAA